TGTGTGTGTGTGTGTGTGTGTGTGTGTGTGTGTGTGTGTGTGTGTGTGTATCCTGATAAATTCCAGTGTGAGACAGAGACACAGTGGTCACCTAAGAGGCATAACAATGAATCTAATGGCAACAACTTGGTAGTTTTCCTCTATTTTTATGACTTTGCAGAATAAAAAAAGCGTGCTTCTTTCCTTTTCAAGTGCACACAGTTCTTTGTATAAATGAAGAAGAGAAAGTAACAATATAAAGGTCCCTTTCTCGGTTTGTCTTTATCCCATTTCTCCTACTTTTCTTTCTTGCTCATATATCCATGTGCCAGCTGGAGCTTCTTTCTTTCTTTTCGTCACCCTCGTCTTTGTGTAGGATCACATGTGCTTTCTTTATCTTTGCTTGTTTTAATGGCTGCTCTGAGTTCTTCTCCCACTGACGGTGCAATGTAAAACAAAGCTTCTCCCGTCACGGTCACTTGGGACAACTGTGACAGATAAAAGCAGCTAAGCCACTTCTTCAGCAAAAGCTAAAAGACCTGAACCTCCTCAATCTGATAATGTGGAGCTGGAGCAGTCAACGTGGAAAACATTGATTCAGCTTTGGGTTTAGTCCAGGTTGGTGTAAATCACCGCCTGTAGACAGGGAGATTTTTCCAGCTTATGACTGAAAGACTAATTTTATGTATTGCAATATAGATCACACAGATCGGTCTTTGAGGCTGCCGATTTTAATAGTGTTTACTTTTATAAACCAAACTGTAAATGGGCTCAAATATGTAAAGACGGATCTGAGATTTCCCATTAAGAATGAGAATTTCTGTTTTTTACAAGGTTTAGAATTTATGTTCATAGCATCCACACTGAGGGGCAGACACTCAGAAGAAAGGAGCATTTTAGTGGGCTGATTGGCTTGCAGAAGGCAGGGAAGAAAACGATTGGACCAGAGTGATGATAACAGAATTTAGCTTGACAGCGTGGAAACGAGGAAGTGATGTAAAGAGCCTGCAGCAGCCCGAGCAACCAGGAATGCAGGGGTTGGATCAGTGAAGACTAATACAAGATGTCCTAATCAAATTTACTCATAAGATTCACTATGAAAGAAATAAGGATTGTTTGAATTGTGAACCAGGCAAAGCTTCTCTAGTTGGAAATGAACACAACAGGCCCCAGTAAAAAGGAAACTAAACTTCAAGGTTTCCATCAAATCCTCTCAAAATTTTAAGAAAAAAAAAATGAAAACGGGCAGACAGCCAAATGGGTGCAGCCTGTCTCTACTTGTTTGATCATAGCTGGCAGTGTTGCCATCTTTCTTTATTTCTCCTGCTCTCTTCTTATAATGTGAAACGGCGGTCTTTATCACTGCAGGAAACAGATGCTGTCTGTCCGTTCTCGGGTACTTGAGTGATAGAACATTGATTTTTAAATTTTAGCTTCAATTCTATGAGGTTCTGCCTGGAATATGATTCTAAGTAGTTTATATGATTTTCTACTTAATGTGAATTTCTGTGTACTTAAATGGTAACATATTTGCAACAAATGGCTGATTTATCACAGTTAATTTTTTTTTAAAAAAATTTTTTATCACAGTTAATTTTGTATTATTGCAAAGAGATTGCACGTAATTGGCTGACTGATCACATTCAGTCACAACCTGTTTTACAGTGTGTCTCCATCGAGACACACTGAGGTAACTTTGAACACAGCAGCTGACTAAGTGGTCACAGACCTGCTCCCTGACTACAATGTTTCAAAGGCACCAAGACTGAAAGTTCATTGTCCATGGTTACAAGGATTATGGCATAACTGATTATATTGGATTAACCGATTATAATCTTGTAATCACTTGCCCTTGTATCCTCTTAAGTAAAGGGCTGCATATCACAGAGTTGTAACCAAGCAATGCTTCCCTTTTTTATT